GCTCAGCAAACTCCAAGTCAGATAAACTCAGACCCACACTGAGACTCATTATAATCAAACTGTCAAAAGCCAAAGACACAGAATCTTGAAAGCAGCAAGAGAGAAGTTACTTATCATATACAAGGGATCCTCAATAAGACTGTCAGTAGATTTCTCATCAGAAACTTTGGAGGTCAGAAGGCAGTGGGATGATATAGTTAAAGTGTTAAAAGAAAAAGAAAAAAACTGTCAATCAAGAATCCTATATTTGGCAAAACCATCCTTTAAAAGTGAGGAAGAAATTAAGACATTCCCGGATAAACAAAAGCTGAAAGAGTTTACCGTTAGACCTGCTCTGCAATAAATACTCAAGGGAGTCCTGCAGGTGAAATAAAGGACACTAGACAGGGACTCAAAGACATTTGAAGAAATGAAGGTCTCAATAAAGATAAATATGTGGGCAATTACAAAGCTAGTATTGTAACAATGGTTTGTAACTCCAGTTTTTGTTTTCTACATAATTTAAGAGGCTAATTATTTAAAATAATTATTAGTTTGTGGTTTTGGGCACACAATGAATAAAGATATAATTCTGTGACAACCACCACCAAAATGCCTGGGGATGGAATATGTTAAAGAAACAGAATTTATGGGCTGGGCACAGTAGCTCATGCCTCTAATCCCAGCACTTTGAGAGGCCGAGATGGGAGGATCACTTGAGGCCAGGATTTAAATACCAGCCTGGTCAACATAGTGAGATCCTGTCTCTAAAAAATAAAATAAAATAAAACAAAATAAACAGAGTTTGTGTATGTTATTGAAGTTAAGTTGGTATAGATTTAAATTAGAGTGTTATAACTTTAGGATGTTAAATATAATCCCCATGTTAACAACAAGAAAAAAGCTATAGAATATACACAGAAGGAAATGAGAAAAGAATTGAAATGTCTTATTACAAAAAAAAAACTAAACACAGAAGAGGGCAGTGTTGTAGAAAATGTATAAAACCTCTATTGACCAGGCACAGGGGCTCATGCTTGTAATCCCAGCACTTCAGGAGGCTGAGCAGGTAGATCACCTAAGACCAGGAGTTTGAAACCAGCCTGGCCAACATGGTGAAACCCCCTCTCTACTAAAAATACAGAAATTAGCCAGGCATGGTGGTGGGCACCTATAATCCCAGCTACTAGGGAGGCTGAGGCAGGAGAATCGCATAAACCCAGGAGGTGGAGGAAGCAGTGAGCCAAGATCACGCCATTGCACGCCAGCCTGGGTGACAAGAGCAAAACTCCATCTCAAAAAACAAAAAACAAAACAAACAAACAAACAGACAACAAATAAAAATCCTCTATAAGGCATGTAGAAGACAAATAGCAAATAATAGAAGCAAATCCCTCCTTATCAGTAATTACTTTAATTGTAAATGAACTAAACTTTCCAATCAAGACAGAGATTGGCAGAATGGATAAAAATGCATGATTCAACTGTCTGCTCTCTACAAGAGACTCCCTTTAGATACTTGTGAAAACACAAATAGATTGAAAGTGAAAGGATGGAAAAATGTATTTCAACTAAATAGTAACCAAAAGAGCAGGGGTGGCTATATTAATATCAGACAAAATAGTCTTTACACAAAGTTTATAAAAGACAAAGAAGGATATTATATAAGAGGTTCAACTGGGTGCAGTGGCTCATGCCTGTAATCCCAACACTTTGGGAGGCCAAGACAGGTGGATTGCTTTGAGTTCAGGAGTTCAAGACCAGCCTGGGCAACATGGCAAAATCCTGTCTCTACAAAAAATGCAAAAATAAGCCGGCATGGTTGCTCATGCCTGTAATCCCAGCTACTCCAGAGGCTGAGGCTGGAAGATTGCTTGAGCCCCAGAAATGGAGGTTACAGTGAACCAAGATTGCACCACTGCACTCCAGCCTGGGTGACAGAATGAGACCCTGTCTCAGGAAAAAAACAAATGTTTCAATATCACAAGAAGGTATTATCAGCATTTATGTGCCTAGTAACAGACCATCAAAATATAAGCAAAAAACTGATGAAATTGAAGGGAGAAATAAACAGTTCTATAATAATAGTTGGAGATTTCAATACCTCACTCTCAATAATGGATAGAATGACCGGACAAAAGATAAGTAAGGAATAAACCAACTAGATCTAATAGACATACACTTAATGGGTAAAGTGTTTCAGTTTTACAAGATGAAAATAATTTTGGAGCTGGATGGTGTTGGTGGTTGCATAACATTATGAATGTATTTAATACCACTGAACTGTACCCTTAAAATAGCTAAGACAGCAAATTTTATGTTACATGTTACCACAATAAAAAAGAACTGAACAACAACAAAAGAAACTGGACAGGGAAACTGAGGCAGAAGCTAGCATGTAGAGCCCAGGAGAGCACAGTGTGAGATGTGGGAGTCTTGGAAGGCACAAAGAGAAAAAAATGGAAGGTGGCTTTGGCCCTTGGTTGGGGGAGGGGACACAGTAGAGAGGGAGGCTCCCTCAGTTGGAGCCACGTGTGGATCTCTGGTCCACTTTCTGGGCAGGAGACTGTAACCTATAAAGAGGCAGTAGGCTGTTAGGTCAAATCTGCCAAGCCTTCCCTCCAAATTTCCTAGTTTGGTGGTGGTGCAAGGAGGCCAGGAACAAATTGTCTCCTGAGCAGCTGCCAGAGCTGGTCTAGTTCCAGAAGGCCAGGTCTACACTAGAGGCACTGCCCTTCCCCAGCTTTGCTTCCAGGTTTCCTCTGAGCCTGAAACCTCTGCCCCATCCCTGCATCCAGGAGCTAAGCTGACTTGCATGTTCTGACAGGATGTGATGCTCCAGGCACCATGAAATCAGCATGGGAGCTGGAGGGCCTTGGGGATCAGATATCAGGCATTTAACCTCAACACGTTTCTCATTTTGCAGGTGGGAGACTGAGGTGCAGAGAGAGAGAGTGACTTGTCAAAGGTCACAGAGCTAATGAGCAGGAAAGCTAGATTCCCAGTCAAGAGCTCTGTTTACTTCTCTACATGGCACACATCACTATGTATTCCCTCTCACCCATCCTATCCTCCCATCCATGTGTCCTACTGTCTTTACTCTCTATCCATCCATCCATCCATCCATCCAACAAATGTTTACCTGCTGAACCTCTGACACATGTTGAATCTTGCGCTGGGCTCCAGGAGCCTACAGTTGGGGTGGGCACACTGACACAGATATACCTTAGGTCCTGAAGAGTTTTGGGTGCCCACTAGAAATCTGTGCAGAGCATCCGGAGCAGAGAGGGTCGCAGTGCTGGGCAGAGCCATCAGGCAAAGTGTCCTGAGGGAGGGCCTGGCTGAGAGAGTCCTGCTGGGCACAGATGGCTGGGAGTGTGGGCTTAGTGAAGAAGTGAAGGCCCTTCTAGGCAGAAGAAGCATGAACAAAGACCACACTGGAGGTTGTGGAGCGAAAAGTGGTTCAGCGTGGCTGGGTACAGGTGCCCAGGGAAGGATAGGTCTGAAAGAAGGGGAGCAATTCTTGGGACGTGGAGTCTCGTGGGTAGGCTGAGGTGACAGGCCTTGGTGCCACATGCATGGGAGCCACAGATGGTGTCTTCATTGTCAAGTGCTCATCTGAGGGAGTCCTGGTGGGGGGGACCCAGGGAGGGAGGGCAAGCACTGGGGACCCTTGTGTCCTCCTGTTAGCCTGTTGGTCTCCCAGAGGCCTGGTAATTCTCTCTTGCCTTCCCCACCATCCCCACACAGGCCTGCAGACTCATCCCCTCCCCGTCTTGTCTGTCTTCTGTAGGTGTCTCTCCCTCCCTTTGGCCTATCAGCCCTTGCCAATCATGCAGACCCTACTGTTTCTCCCTCGCTCATCATCTCCCTGTGTCTTAGCACCACACCAGGCACAGAGCCCCCGACTGGAGGTCAGGGCAGCACACAGGATTCCAGTCCTATTTTTGCCACCAACTGACCTGAGCAGAAACATCTTATTAATAACAAGTATTTGCAGGGTGATTTCAGCTGACAAAGTCCTCTGACCCCCTGTAGGGGAAGATGTCACCATGACCCAGAAGCCTCTTGACTAGGTCAAGCGTTCTGAGGGCCAGTGAACTCTGGGGAACTTTGTTATCACGCTTGGGTTGTTGTGTGATTACGTTATTGTGTGCAAAGGGCTATGTGCTCAATTTATTACCTTCTGTCCCAAGACAAATAGAACTTTAGAATGTTACCCCACAGAAGGTTACTTCAGAGCATATTAGAATCAGTCCTGGCCTTAAGCAAACAAGTTCCATTAAGAGATTTTCAGATTTTTTAAAAAAGTTAGTCCATAGTAAGATATGCATGTTATCACACAACCGGGGAAATATATATGTGTGTGTGTGTTTGTGTGTGTGTGTGTGTGTATGAAACACAAGCTTGGCAGACAGTACTCACCCTTGCTGCATGTAATATGGACTGGTATTTTCCTTTCTACTCCATTCTATTCCATTAGGAATAGCAATGGTGGTCATGTCCCTGTAAATTGATTTCACATCCCACTAATGGTTTACAATGGGAAGTTTTCTGGGACCACTCCCCCTCCCCCAAATTCAGTTGTTTCCTGACGCAGAAAAACTGCAAATCTGTATCTCCAGCTGTGACCTCTCATAGGGTTTAAATCTTGGCTTTGCCACTTCCTGGTGAGTCCCTTAAAGACTATTTCCTTTTCTGTAAAATGAAGAAAATTGTTACCCTGCAAGGTAGTGGAAAGGATTTAATGAAATCATTTATGTAAAGTGGTTCATGTGATTCTGGATGCATAGTAGTTGCTTAGTAAGTGTTTATATATAATGATCTCTTATAACAAGAATTATGGAGACAGGTGTTCAGTGAACCTTGGTGACTAGCAGGGGTGAATCAGTTCACATAGCTGCCCTCAGGGCTGAGACTGGAGGGTGATGGGGAAGGGGTTAATATTTACAGAGCTCCTGCTGTGGGCCAGGCACTGTGCAAAATGTCGCAACTGCCACCTTGGTGAGTGTTTACAACAAGGTAGGTGCAATTACTAGTCTGATTTTACAGATGGGGAACCTGAGGTTCAGAGAGGGACAATGCTTTGACTAAGGTTGTATGGCTTGTGAGTGGCACGACAGAGTTGCACCTCAGGCTTTTGGGCCTGAGAGTCCCTAAGCACCCTCCACACTGCCTATCCTCTGCCTCTGCTGGTAGGTCCTCTGTGCCATACTGTGTTGGGCCATGCTGGACCCTTCGAGTGAGCCCTGGTTCCACGAAGAATGCTGCCCAAAAGGGCTTTGACCCAGCCCCTTCCAGCCTCCACCTCTCCATGTCCTTGTGGACCACAAGGTGAGGCCCCATATGCCCATCCAGCCTCACTGCCCACCACACATCTGCCCCCTCCCAGGCACAGCCAATGGTCACCCGTACTAGGTGACAGGCCCCAAACACGGCAGCACTTTCCATCCTGTAAGCTTTAGCTTTGGCTGTCTCCACTACTCAGAATGCCCCTCCCCTTCTCCCCAAAGACTGAAATCCTAGGTGTCTCCAGTGACAGACCTGGGAGCTGGGTCTGTCCTCAAAACCAGGCCTTGAAGGGAGGAAGTGGGGTGGTCTAGTTTGGACACACAGAAAGCAGAGAATGGAAGGGGCAGGAGGAGGGAGGTGAGGGCAGGAGAGAGAAGAGGGGGTAAAAGGGCAGAGCCAGGCCGTGCACAGTTGTGTAAGTGTGTGTGCCTAAGGCCACCACCTGACCAGAGCCAGGTGTCCTGCCAGGGGTGAAGAAAGTTCACCAGCTTTGTGCTGTCAGAGCAGACATTCCAGAACGATTTTGCAAAGGAGGGATGCTTAAGCCCCTGGTAAGCGGCCAGGGTCAGTGAACCACCCATGGCTAAGCTGAGATCCTCCCTCCCACCCTAGCCAGCTCTAAGTCCTCATTTTGGAGCTGCAGGACAGGCCCTGTAGCAGAAAGGAAAAAGGATACTTTGTCGGCATGCTTTCATTTTCATTTCTGGTGTCGTTACAGGGATGAAACATTCTTAGAGAATTTACCAGTGTTTATGCTGTGGTCACATCTGATGCTCAAAGTGACCCTGGGAGGTGGGGCTCCTACCCCCGTTTTACAGGCTGAAGCTCAGAGAGGGAAACTGGTTGTCCAAGGCCACACAGTGAGAGAGAGGCAGAGCTGTGACACACAGTTAGTTTTTGTGCTGTTGGCATGTGTAGCAGTGGCCTCAGTAAATAAAACTTAAAGTTAACAACTTAGCTGTAGCTCACAATGGGCAAGATCAGATTCTTATCTTAACTCATTTAATCCTCACAATTCTACCTGGTACTGTTATCATCCCCATTTTACAGAGAGGAAAACTGAGGCATGGAGCTATTCAGCAACTTCTCAGTTCACAGAGCCAGTAAGTGGTGGAGCTGACACTCGAATCCAGGCCCTCTGGTTTCACAGCCTGTGCTCTGAATTGCTTCACTTACATAGAGGCTCAGGATGAAGGTAATTTAGTGAAGATGAGGTCAGCTGGATGGGCCCTAATCCAGTATGACCATTGTCCTGATAAGGAGAAGAAATCTGGATGCAGATACGTGTAGAGGGAGAACACCCTGTGAGCATGGAGATGGTCATCTATAGCCAAGGACAGAGGCCTCCAGAAGCCAGCCCTGCTGACACGTCCATCTCTGACTTCCAGACTCTGGCACTGCAAGGAAACACGTGTCTGGTGTTTAAGCCACTCAGTCTCTGGTACTTTGTTATGGCAGCCCTAGCAAACGGATACACTCATGCAACATCGAGCTAGTGACTTAACTTTCGGTGTGTCACATAGTAGACTCAGTAACACCCTATGAAGCATGGGCACATAGTAGGCCCTCAGCAAATGCTGGCTTTGTCTCCCCTCCAGGCCTAGGAATAGTGGCTGGCTGTCTCAGGGGAGGGGAGTGGGAATGTTACTGAGTCATCCTGCCTCAGCATGGACCCAGGACACCTGACCCTCGATCCTGCCCTCCTCTTTCCCCAGAAGAGCAATCCTGCCCTCAGCCCCACCCCTGTCCTTGGAGGTGAGCAGAGTTCACAGCTTTCTGTGTGCCAGGCTGTGAGGTGAGCAGAGTTCAAAGCTGCTTTGCCTCTGCCCATGCTCAGCAGCACACCTGCCGTGAACGGCTGACCAACTTGGCCAGGCACAGAGGGCAGGAGGGGAGGAGCCTCGGGTGCAGGGGCTGACAGGTGCGTTGGGGCATTTTCCACAGTGTGTGCACGCTGCATGCTGCATTTTATCTGATGCTCATAGCTACCCTCGGAGAGAAACTGAGGCCCAGAGGAGTTGAGGGACTCCCATTCAGTTCACCTGTGCTGGGCTTAGGTCCTTGGTGTCCAGGCTCTGGCCATGGCTGGACCACTTGCTTGCCCTCCAAGGCTTTGGGAGGCTATGGGGGGTGGTGGGAGGCCCATGGGCCCAGCAGTCACCTGACCTAGGCTCAAATCTCAGCCGGACCAGCGACCAACCGTGTGACCCTGGGCCCTCCTTTGATGGGAGGCTAATCATGCCCACCTCGCCAGGCTGTTGACAGGCTCAGTGAGAGGCCATCTCCACCCCTGGAACTCTCAAGGGAGTTCTTGTGACTTTCACAAGAAACTGCTAAGTTACTGTTGCTGAATCAAATTCCTGGAGAGCCAGGAAGTATGTCTGTGGGTGGGAGAGACGTCTGGCACTTCCAGGGGGGCCCCAAGGCTTCCTTCCCACATGCCTGCCTCCCCCAGCGCCTGGCAGCCCTTGAGAGGGAAGATAACAGAGGGGCCCAGAGGGTCTGAAATTTACCTTGCTCCTACTTCCTGCCCACTGTACCTGTCTGCATCCCTAGTTTCCCTGTCTGCAGTTCTGAGTTCAATAAATGTGGTTTTACTTTCTGATAGCACCTGTCACCACTCAAACTTCTCTGGATTATTGATTGTATTGTCACTGTTGTCTGCTTCCTCATCCCCTCCTAGAGTGGCGGTCATGGAGCAGGGACTTTGTTCACTGCTTTGTGTTGTTGACTGCTGTAGCTCCTGCACCTAGAACAGTGCCTGGCACACAGCAGGAGTTCAGTTGGTATTTGTGGCAGGAAGGAAGGAAGGGAGAGAGGGAGGGAGAGAGGGTGGAAATTGTGGATCCTCTGTGGTCAGCCCTTTTCTGCAACTGGGGATGTTGCCTTAGGTTAGAGCCCAACCCTGCTTGATAGAGGCTTCCCCTCTGGTGCCAGAGGCAGACAGTGACTGCGGGTGTGACCTGCACTGTGACAGAGGGAAGGAGGCACTCTGACTGGGGAAGCCAGGGCAGATGGCATCTGATGTGCTTCAGGGAGTAGGCCGGGCTGGCTCGGGGACCTGGGAAGCCTCAGAGAAGCATCAGCTGAGAAGTACAAGGCAAAGAAGAATTAGGGGGACAAGGGAGGGGCAGCATTCCAGGCAGAGAGAGCCGCTTGTGCAAAGGCAGGAAGGCAGGAAGGCTGTGTGGAGTTAGAGGCATTTGCTGCTGTCACTGAGTGCAGTGACTGGGAAGGTAGAGGCTGGTGATGGGAGGGTCCCCTGAGAGAATGGTGGGGATCTCACAGAACGCAGCCAATCCAAGCTGTTTCTCTCCCAGTGCTCAAAGGCTCCTGACTGTGGAGAGCTAGGGCTGCCAGGAGCTGCCTGCATTTGCCAAGTGGTTGCAGAAGTTTCCTCCCTACTGCTCTGACCTTGCCGGGGGAGCACATTCTCCTGTCTGAGCTGGTATCTCTGTCTCTGTCTGTCTGTTTCTGTCCCTCTCCTGAGAGAGTCTAGCCTTGGGGTCCAGGCCTGGCCTGGCCAGGGTGGCCATGGGATCTTGGAGCAGCCATCACTCCCCTTTCTGAGCCCAGGTTCCTCCTCAGATGCACAGTGGGTGGTCGTCAGCGCCTGGCAGGCCTCTCCTCCGGGACCTGGTGTTTTCGCACACGAAACAGACTTCAGAGCTAGTGCGTGCTTTGGTATCTTTTCCAGCCAGGAGACACTGCTCAATGGCCCCAGGAAGGGCCCAGGAAGGATTCATTCCAGCCTTGCTGGGGGTGGGATCTGGCTTCTGGTCCTACTCCAGCCAGGCAGCCATGGGGGAACCCTGAAGCCAGAGACATAGATTCTGGTCTCTCACGCACTCTCTTGGTAACCTCAGAAAGTTTCTACCTCTCCCCAGACCTCAGTCTTCCCTTTTATAAAATGGTTGTAATAGCACCAGTCCTCTCTCTGCAGAGACAAGAGCCCTGCTCCTCGTCCCGGATCTGGCATTGACTCACCTTAGGTAATTCTGTTCCCTTTTTGGGCCTGTCTCCCCATGTATGTGTTGAGGGGGTGGACTTGAGGGCCTGTGAGAGGCCTTCCAACTTAGACATTCTCCCCAGGCACATAAATTCAGTGAATCTATGTGACTCTCAGTGATGGCATCATTGCCCAGTATCCACCCAGCTCCTGCTTGAAAACTTCCAGAGAACTCCCCACATCTCCACGGCTTCCTTCTACCTTCAGGTACCTTACACTGTATCTTTCTTCCTACATCACCCAACCACTGGGGTCAGTTCTGCTGCCACAGAACTCCATACAATTCAACAGACCTTAGGTACTGAGCACCCTGGCCAGGCCTCATGCCAGACTGCAGGATCATGAAGGAACCAGTGTGGTCCAGCACGGACTGGACAGGCATAAAGTCCAGTAGCTCTGTCCGACTCCAGACTCAATAATAATCCCAGCTGCCACCGGTAGCCCCTTCTGGGCGCCCAGCCCCCCACCTCATCAAATACCAGCAATATCTACTTCACGGAATCCCCACAACAGCCCTGCCAGAGAGTAACTCTCATCCCCATGTTGTAACTGAGAAAACTGAGGCCCACAGCAATTAGATATCTTCCTAAAGGTCACACAGTTAGTATGCATGGAGCCTGATTAAAACCAATCTGGCTACAAGTCTTATTGGGCTCTGCTGCCTCTGATTTGTCTCTCTGTTCCTGGCACGGCCAGGTTTAGGGGCAGCCTCCTTCCAAGCTGCTTCAGAGCCAGGCTCCTTCCACAGCCTCCTCAGAGGCAGCCTCTGGCTGCTTGTGCATTTCCTAAGGCAAGGAAGCCCGGGCAGGAGGGTCCCGGGAGGGTGGAGTGGAGACAGTGGGCCTGAACCCAGGGCTCATGACCTGTGCCCTCTGGAGGGATTCCAGGTGTCACCAGCAGCCTGGGGAGGCACACCCTTGTGTGGGGAGGAGGAACTCTTCCTGGCACCCTCAAATTATCCCTCAGAAGTAGCCTTGGCTGCAGTTAGGCTGGCAGTGGGCGAGGCCCTGGTCTGGGAGCCCAGAGTCTAAGCTGTAGCTTCAGTTGACTCCCTGATGGTCAGTGTGACCTTGGATGGGGCCCTTCCCTTTTGGGACTTCAGATTCCCTATTTGCAGACATGAAGAGGGGACAAGATCTCCCAGCAACATGCAGTAGCTGGAGCTGAATCAAACCCTGTCTTGGTTGGATCTAGAAGGGCAAATGTGGTCAGAATGTTCTCCCTAACCCCTCCCAGGTCTCTTGGCTGCCCCAGCTGGGCCCACCCCACATCTTCTCAGTGGCATGTCCTTTCATTTAGGAAAGGAGTTTCCTTAGACGGGCAGACAGTGATGGAGCAGGGGGCTTGGAAAGGGATGAGATCAGTGTGGCCCAGCTCCCTGCTGGAGTGGTGAACAGAGAGTGTCCTTGGGTCACACAGATCATAAACCAGCTGTGTGACCTCGAGCAGAGCTCTTAACCTGCTTGAACTTCAGTTTCTGTATCTGTAAAACAGTGATAATAATAGTGCCTACTTTTGAAAGTTATTAATAGTGAGGATAAAATAAGGATTAAAGGGAAGTGTCTCTAAAACACTTGGCACAGAGCCTGGTATGTAGTCGGCACTCAGAAAGTGTGGCCTTGATCACAACAATGATGATAGTGAAGATGGGAATGAGTGGGGAAAGGACGGCGACAACCGTTGTGTTGAACAGTGTGAGACGCTGCTCAGCCTTCTCCGACATACTGGGTACTTCCATGCTTCCAGGCTTCACACTTGCCATTTCTTCTCCCTCGCCATCCCCCAAGACTTCTTCCAGCACAAATGCATCCTAAGTAATGGAGTAATCAGGCCCTGTGAATCTGAGCCTGGAGGAGCCTGGGGGCAGATCAGCACCCAGTGGCTGCGCTCTGTGTGAGGTGGGAGCACCAGACTTGGAGGAATTAATAGAAGGTTTCCCAGGGGAGGCAGAGCTTAGCTGGAGTCCTGATGAAGGAGTAGGAATTGGCTGGAAGAAGAGAATAGGATTTCTTTTTTTCCATTTAAAGCAGTCCAGGCAGATGAAATAACACGTGCAAAAGCAGAGAGGTGGGAAATAGCATGTTGAGTTTGGGAAACTGCAAGCAGCACAATATGGTGCGAGTGGGGAGAGGGCGAGAGGAAGGCGGAATGGGGAGGATGTTTGGGGCAGATCATGAAGAGCCTGTATGCTACACCAGACATTCAAAATGTGTCTTGAAGGCGATGGGGAGTTATTCTGTTCATCATGCGACAAACATTCCTGAGGATCTACTTGACCCAAGGCATCTTTGTAGCAGGCACTGCGATGGCTGCCGATGCCTGTGCCTCCTACCCCCACCCCTCAGCTGCTGAGAGTGCTGACAGCAGGCAGCTTGCAGGTGAGACTCCTCCCACCACCGCCTTTGCCTGCTCACCTAATGCCATGGTGCCTCCAGGGCCAGCCTGCATCCAGAGACTGCTTCGCATGGGGGTATAAAAGCCCAGGCCCCTTGCCCCGACTTGGGACAACTACGAATAGTCTTTCCAGCTCCACAGCTCCCTGAGGGGTTGGCCGAGGCCTTTGTGGGGTCTGCATCACAACCCGGTTTATCCCTCTGGCCAATTCTGCTTCAATCACTCCCTGCCAGGTGTTGACCTTGAACGTACTCCCCCAGTAAATCTCCTGCAAGCGAATCTTCATCTCAGAGTCTCCTTCCTCCAGAACCAAACCTCCAACGATCATTACTGAGGGATGTCAATGGTGGCCGACATTTCACTGAGGGTTCAATGAGAGACCCCACTTTTAGAAGGCGATTCTGTCTGCAGTGTGAGAATGATGTGGAAGGACACATTGGAGTCCAGAGGCCAGTGGGAAGGTGGTCGTTGTGATTTAGCACAGAAATGATGAAGGCACCAGGTGGGTGGGGGCAGGAAGGAGGGACAGAGCTGGGGGACATAGAGGAAACAGGACTGCCAGATAGAGACTGGGTAAGGAGGGGGTCTCCCAGGCTTGTCTGCCTGGAGCAACCAGGCAGAGGTGGAGGCAGTCCCTGGGATGAGTTTAACTGGAGAAACTCAATTTAGTTTGGGAGTTGTGAGAGTGCCATTTGCATGAGGTATGCAGGTGGAAGGGCCAAGAGTTGGGTGAAGAGGCTCCAGGAGATAAACTGGAGCTGGAAGTGTGGATCTGGAGTTAGCCAGCACTTTGTAGTTTACAGAGCATTTACTGGCACCCATTTAGTTCAATATGGGCAGCAACCAATCAGAAGGGTTGCCAGGATCTTGAGGACCTTCCAAGGGGCTAGATGTTAACCCCTTGGTTGCTGAATCATGGTGGGAAGGTCAGGGGATGCTGGGTTGTGTGGCAGGGGCACTCAAGGGCTCAGAGTCATGGCTATTTACCAAGCAGTAAGTTAGAATCTTTGCATGCCAGCTGAGTATCAGCCCTACCAGTTCCTCTTAGAATCCTCACAAGAACCTGTTGAGGCAGATACTATAATCCCTTTCCCAAAAGAGGAAACCAGGGCTCAGCGAAGTAAGTAACTTTCCAGAAACCAAGCAGCTCTTAAACAGCAGAACTGGAGTTGAACCCAGGTCTGCCTGAGCCTGCATCC